AATATGTATGGTTTCAGAGAAAAGTAGGAAGACTTATATGAACTGATGTACTCTGAAATGAGCAGAATGAGGAGAACAATTTATCTTACAGCAACAACATTTTTAAAATTTTGGAAGACTTTAGACCTCTGATCAACACAATAATCAAATATTTTTCAGAGAACTAATAATGACAGAGGGAGGGAGGGAGGAAGGGAGAGAGAGAGAGAGAGAGAGAGAGAGAGAGAGAGAGAGAGAGAGAGAGAGAGATCTAAAAATGCAGAATGAAACACATAATTTTGGACATAACCAATGTGGCAATTTGTTTTGCTTGACAGCAAATATTTGTTACTATGGATTTGTTTTTCTTTTTCTTTTTCTCTTTCCAGTTGAGAAGGGAAAAGTGAAAGGAAAAGAAAATAAATCTTGTTAACTTAAAAAGAAATTGAATTTGACTAAAAAAAGAAAGAAGTAGAGCATGGGAAAGCCAAAACAGTGGGAACTGGACTATATTGTAAAAGTTCCACAATGCTATTATGGTCATGGATGCAGAAAGAATAATTTCAACTGGGCACTGGGTATCTCTCTAGAAATAAAATGGGACCTACGGCAGTGCTAATTCTCTTTTTTTGCTATTTTAGGCAAACAGAACACTGGAATGCAAGCTCTTTGAGGGGAGTAACTTTTTCTTCTGGTTTTTGTTCTTGTATCCCCTGCCCTCAGTACCTAACACAGTGCCCGAAAAAAACAAGTACTTAATAAATGATTATTCTATGAATGAATGAAAGTAATAGTCTCTTGGACCTCTTTGTATCCCTAGACTCCAACATGTACTGTAGGCACTCAATTAATCTTTATTGATTTTGTTAATACTATCTGGATAGCACATTGGGTACTGACTGGAAAAGTCCCATGTTTATCATGTCTCTAGAATAAGAAGTGAAGAGAATACATGTTGAGACACCTGCTCAAAGCTATACTAACACTCAGTCTTATATTGCTGTGAATCATTTTTCTGTTTTCCAACCAATATGTTTTCAAATCTGAGCCCTGGTTTTCCCCATCTGTAAAATGGAGCAGGATGGGATGGAGGGAGGTTCCTTTTATGAAGCATTTCCTTACTCCCTCCAATACCCCATGTGAAAGTGATCAGAGAAAGTAACATGGCCCAGTAGAAAGATCTTGGGATTTGGAATCAACCAATCTGAAACAAATCTTGGCTCTGTCACTTGGTTTCCTAATTGGTAAAATGACGCATTTGGACGAGATAGTCTTCAATGTCCCTTCCATTCCAAAATCTATACTACTATGGATTCATCTGACCTTTTGCCTGGCCATCACCTTTGTACCTATCACACTTTCCTTTGTTTCATCATTGTTTATGTGCTTGTCCTTCTATCCATTAGATTATAAACTCCTTGAGGAGAGTCTATCTGTGTTGGTATTTCTAGGACTGAGCACAGGACCTCATGTGAAGTAGGCATTTAATAAATATTGGTTGAGTTGCATTGAATTGGACTTAAACTGTTCCCTTCCTGGCCTGGGAGCCTAGTATTTCCTTCTTGCAGTCATCCAATTTGATTGGCACTATATACCAAGGTACTGAGATGATGCAGAATTGAATGACTGGGAAGCTGGGCCACTTGATTAGCCAGAATGAAATTATTCTCTCCAAAATAGGAAGGTTCATATTACTATAGGCTTTCTCACTATGGCCAAGCTTCCTGTGATCCAATAAACGAGACCATATGGGATAGCAACATGATGAGCTGGAGCATAGAGGAGATCTCTTGGCCATGGGAACAGGAGACGCAGTGTGCTGTAGTGGGAATGGCAATGGACTCAAAGTGAAAAAAACCTGGGCTTGAATTCTTTGCTGCTTGTTGTTATCTTTGTTTTCTTCTCCTTCTCTTCTTCTTCTTCTTCTTCTTCTTCTTCTTCTTCTTCTTCTTCTCCTTCTTCTTCTTCTTCTTTTCTTCTCCTTCTCCTTCTTCTTCTTCTTCTTCTTCTTCTCCTTCTCCTTCTTCTTCTCCTCCTCTTCCTCCTCCCACTCCTCCTCATCCTCCTTCTTCTCCTTTTTCAGTTGTTTCAGTCATGTCTGACTCTTTGGAACTCTATTTCAGGTTTTCTTGGCAAAGATACTGGAGTGGTTTACCATTTCCTTCTTCAGCTCATTTGACAGATGAGGAAACTGAGGCAAACAGGGTTAAGTGACTTGGCCAGGGTCACACAGCTAGTAAATGTCTGAGGCCAGATTTGAACTCAGGAAGATCCATCTTCTGGTACTCTATCCACTTTGCCACCTAGCTGCCCTTTGCTATTTAGTAGTAGTGAAACCTTAGCCAAGTCAGAGGTGCAGCATTAAAGCATGTTTCAGAGTTTTCACTAGAAATGGAGCTATAGCAATAGCTATAATGGCCAATCTCAGTCCTGGAGAAGAGATGAGGAAATGTACCTCCCCCCTTTTCTTGGTAAGATGGGCAACTTCACTGCATACACTGTTAGATGTGGTTGATGTGCATGGTTTTGCTTAACTACTTTTTCTTTGCCGCAAGGGAATCAGTCAATTAATCAACCAAATAATCATTTATTAAGCACCTTCTATGTATCAGGCACTGTGCTAAGTACTAAGAATACAAAGACAAAAAAATAGTCTCTGCCCTCAAGAAACTTAGATTCTAACTGGAAAAGTTCACTAGAGATAGGGAGGAGGAATAGAAAAGGACCTAACTGGAAATGGTTATGATGGAAAAACAGAAGGCATCTATAGCAGTGGGGCATAGGGGCGCCTGGGGTACAGCATGGACACCTGAAATGGGATCCAGTATTTTTCTCAAGGTTGGGGGAAGAGGTAATTTCTTCCTTTTAGCATGCAGTGGCAATGGTGGCTCTAAGCATCCAGCAGTGAGAATCTTACTTGCTTAGGGAACCCTGAGTCCATGGTGGTGGTTTTATTCTTGTTGTCCTCCTCCTTCTCCTTCTCTTCCTCCTTCTGCTCCTCCTCCTCCTCCTCTTTCTTCTTCTTCTTCTTCTTCTTCTTCTTCTTCTTCTTCTTCTTCTTCTTCTTCTTCTTCTTCTTCTTCTTCTTCTTCTTCTCCTTCTCCCTCTCCCTCCTCCTCCTCCTTATCATCATCATTGTCCTTCCCAGAGCAAAGATCAATGAACAGTAATTCTGAGAAGTGGGCATTTCCAGCCTTGGCCACTACTTTGTGCGAATTTGAGGGTTAGACAGTTCTGGAGTGGAATGCAAGCTGCCCTTGAGCAGTGAGTCTTTACTGGAGTAACATGATTCTTGAGGGAGAAAATGGCTACCATTAGTGATCATTCTGTACCTTGATTAAAGAGAGCTGTGTGCCCTGACTAGTCAGGAGATCTGGGCTTTTGTAAGTTGATGGAAAACCACAGATCTGAGGTGAAAGTGTCTGTAACATGTTCCCATAAAATTGTCTTTACCTGCTGGGAAAGTGTAATGAGTGTGATGGGCCATTGTCTTATGTTTTTGTATTTGCTTGTGGCCAGTACAGTATTAAGCATCCTACATCTTGCTGTAGTAAATAAACTGCTTTCCTCTCCCTACTATTCATATTGTGTCTTGAGTATCTTATCTACAAAACACCCTGTTAATTCCTTTAATTAACATGAGCCATAACTAGGCTTTGTTTAAGAATTTGCTATGGAGTTAGACTGGAATGGAGACAATGAGCCAAAAAGTAAAAAAGCTAGACTCCTCCCCCTTGGGGGGAAGGAAAAAATTTATCCCTAAAATTAGCTCCACATCAGTCCAGAGCCAAAGTCAATTCCTTTGTTGGGTCACTTGGGCTGTGGGTCATAATACATAGGATAGATAGATAGCTATTAGAGATCTTAAATGGATTAGTGAGACAGAAATTGGAGAAACAGATATATATGTATGTGTGTGTGTATATATATATATATATATATATATATATAATATGTATGTGTATATATATAATATATATGTATATACATATATATAACATATATATGTATATATACATATATATTATATATATGTGTATATATATATATGTAGAGAGAGAGACAAAGACAGAGAGAAAGAGAGAGAGGATTAGAGCTTGGATTAGAGAGATACATATAGAAAGAGATTAAATAGAGAAATAGAGATTAGAGAGAGATGAGACATAGATTAGATAAATGAATCGATAGATTGATAGAGATTAGCTAGAGAGATAGAAATTAGAGAAACAAATATAAAGAGAGAGATTAGGTAGAGAAGTAAAGAGATTAGATAGATATATGAATGGATAGTTACATAGTTAGAGAGATAGAGATTAGATAAGAGCTTAGATATATGAGAGTTAGAAATTAAAAAGACATATAGAGAGATTAGATAGAGAAATAAGATAGAGATGAGAGATAAATTAGATAGATATATGGATAAATAGAAATTAGAGCTTAGATAGATTGGAGAGATAGAAATTAGAGAGACATAGCAAAAATATTAGATACAGAGATTAGAGACATGAGATAGACAGACAGACAAATGGATGGATGGATAGATGGGTGGTTGGATAGATCTAGAAATAGATCTAGATAATGATATAGATATCAGTAATGATAATGATATCAGAGAAAAGAAACTATCTCTACTTGAGATAATATTCATCTTGTTACCCTCTCTTGGTAGGATTAATGGTTTGGAGCTTTTCCTCTTCCCTGGATCAGAAGGGGCCATTCTAGACTAGTTCTCATCACTTTGACTTAACAAATGACATGGAGTTATAAAGAGTGTTGTCCTTGGAAGTCAGAGGACAGAATCACTTTATCTCTCTGGGCCTTAAATTTCTTATCCACAAAAAGAAGAGGTTAGACACTAAGGTCCATTCCAACTTTGAATATATGAACATAATGAAACAATAAGTGACAGTGTACTGGTTTTGTATAGACAGACAGGTAGACAGACAGGAAATGAAGGTGATATGAAAAAGTTATCTATAATTTTTTGTTTTAATTAATAAAGAAAAATTGTAGTGCTTTTGTCTCAAAGGAAAAAAAACTTTCTTTTTTTTCTATAAGATAATCTTTGCTTCTCCCTCTTAGGGTTCTTAGAGATTTGTGAGAGATGTTTTCCTATATAGAATTTCCATCTAACAACATAAAAATCAAGTCATTCAATCAACAAATATTTATTAAGTGCCTACTATGTGCTAGGCACTGTGCTAAGCACTGGGGATACAAAGAAAGGCAAAAGATCTTCCTTGCCCTCAAGGAGCTTACAATCTGAAGTGACCAAATATCAAGTTTGGACAGGATAGACTCGTTTGGAGCGTTGGTTTTGTTTCTTATATTAACTTCTGCCACTTGGACAGATGTCTTTCCCAGTACTCTAGTACTTTTGGTTCTTTCGTGAATTGCCATAGCCATCTATGGTAAATTAATTAGTTAGTTCACAAAATGTTATTATATTCATAAAGAGAGGCAGAATGGTGCTGTGGATAAAATGCTGCATCTGGAGTCGAGAAGATGTGAGTTAATCTCACCTCTAACAGTGTGACCATAGGCAATCCACTTAACTTCTCTGGGCTTCAAGCCATTCTCTAAGACTTATCTAGTAAGTAATACATGAGTTGTAACCTGTTTAGTGGAGGAAGTTCACACACCAACTAAATCACAGAACCTTAAAGAACTCACGGAAGCAAAATAACATAGTAAACTTCCCCTTTATCTACAGATCAGAGTCAGGAGAGTATATATTCACTTCACCTCTTGGCCTCAGTTTCCCTATCTGTAAAATGAGGTGGTTGGACTAGATGATTTCTCAGGTTTTTTTTTTCAGCTTCGAAGTCCATGCCTAATCCCATATAGCTTTTCTAGGCTTGAAGGTGTTGAGGGACAAGAATATTACATTCTTTTTTTTTTCATGAAAGCATGAAATATTCACATGGAAAGAACCTAAATATTTTCAATAAAGCTTTGGTTTACAAAGTAGCATTTGCATAGTGTACACAGCCAGCCAAGAGACAACAGATCTTCACTCCTGGGGCACCGCTGCAAAGATACCAACTGGAAGACGATATCTTCTCTTTGATAGGAGAGGTATTCCCTCTAATCACTGGGAATCTTTGTGAAGGACCCTTTTAAACACAATTCATTGCCAAGGTGAAGTGAAATCCAATTTCGGTCCAGAAAGCCCAGATCTGCAAAATAAACAGACTTCCATGTACAATGTCAGTTTTCAGGTCCTGGAACACAGCTAAAAGACAGAACATGACATTACACACTGCCTGTCAGAGAATATTTGCAGAACCCACTATGGTTAGCCAAAGCAAACTCACAGCTAAAATTACAGGTGGAAAAATATTTTTAACAAATCCTTTAAAAGAATTCAAATATACACCTATCATACACACACTGAAAAACACAAGGTTTCTCTTCATGAGCTCATAACTGGACCACTAATGTTCAGAGTTCTAGAGTGGTCTGACTGTTTATTGGAATTAAATTTGTTGTTTTCTCCTGTCAAGCACTTATACACATGTATATCTTATACCTAATCAGTCTCAGAGTCTTTCTCATTTTCTTTAACAGATAAGACTGAATTTCCCCTTCCAAGAACCCTAATTTACATCCAAATGCTTTGCTTTCATGGGTATTTATTTCCATGAGACATAATTTTCATAAGATTTTAAAATCTTATTTTCATAAGATCCAAATTCGAAAAGAATCTTAACACATAGATCACAACTGAGGGGTTTGTGGCAAGAGTATTTCCCCTATCTGGGCCTCAGTTTCCTCATCTGTGAGATAAAAGGGTTAAATCTGATGATTTTTAATATATCATCCATCCTTAAATTTGTGATCCTACTAATAAACATAGAATGTCAGAGCTAGAAGGGACTTGAGAACATATGATATCAGAGTCAAAAAGCATCTTAGGACATTATCAAATCCAATCCAAATAGAATTTTAGATATGAAAGCCCCAAAGCCCAGAAAGAATAAACAGCTTATCCAGGGTGGTACAGTAAGTTACAACAAAGCTGGGAGTAGAACCCTTGGATGAAGACAGAAGACCTGGAATCAACATACAATGAGGCAGGTATTTGGTGTCAACAGATGAAAAATGTCACATTGACCTGAATTTGAACCGATGGTCTCCAAAGCCAAAATGGGATACTTTATGGAAAACTTTTTGTATCTTTAAATCATTCTTAAGGACTTCATAGTAACAGGAGCAATAAGATGACAGACAAGAGATTTTCACTACTTCACGCTAACTTTCAAAAGCTTCCAAATGAGTAATTAAGCACCAAATGCAGAGTGATTCCAAATGACTACCCAGGACAGAAAAGAGAGCCACACAAGGTAAAATCTATATGAATTACCATCAGAGAATGCTAATCCTTAAAATCACTCAGCATCCCTTCCTCACCAGTCTCTATGCTTCTGCTCCCAGCAGGGACAAAATAGAAAAAAAAAACTTATCCCTGGGCTTATGGCTTAAATTAGTATCCCTCCAGCTGCAGAGATTTTGCCAGAAATACACACACACACCCTCTCCTCCAATCCCTCTCCCAACCAGCAGCAGACATTGATTCTGCCCAGCCATGAGTAGAGAGGATAAATCATGCTGTCTTCTGCCTAGAGTGACCCCTAGGTTACATACCTCCAAGGTATACTCATCATCCCCTAATCCTGCAAAAAGTCAGATGCTGATTCAGCCAAGCTTGGAGGAGAGTCAAGGGAGGAACTGGGTAGAGAACCAGTATGAGCAGCTTCATAAGGCCATAAAAAAGTCTGAAACCCAGTTTGGACCAGGCCTTTCCCACCAGAGGCTACTTAGGGCAAGAACCCAGGGCAATGAGCATTAAATCCCTCAATGTAAGAGGAGTCTGAGAGGGCTTTGCAGCCTAGCCTGAAGGCTATACCCATCAGCATAGGGAAAGCAGTCAGGAAGTGAGTGATGGGGGTATAGAAGGAAAAAGAGCTGACACATTAAAGATTTCCAGAAGAAAACTCAATAAAAATGCAGAGCATAAGGAGATAAATCAACAGGGAAGACATTATACTAGAAGAAAGGATAAATACCAAGCCCTCATGGAGATTACAAAGCTTGCTTAAATATTGTAAGACGAAGGAAAGTGAAACAATGCCTGTCGAAATACAGAATCTTGTGAAATCCCAAGTTATAGCTCTCAATGCAGACATTTTGTAAAAATTCAATTAGCAGACTAGAAAAAATACAGTCCATGGTGGAGAGCTTATGGCAAAGTTAGGACTTGGGGAGTGAAAAGGAGATTAACATATAGAATACAAAAATGCTTAGCTGGAGGAAATTCTGGCAGAAGAGAAGCAAATGACAACAATGTTAATAGAGCACATGATCTCTGTACAAGCATAAGCCACTGACCTTAAAAACAGAATGTGCAGAGACAACCTAAGGACCATAGCTATCCCAGAAGAACAAGACAAATTAAAATGAAAAAAAAAAACCTAAGCAACACAATGAAGGAAAAAATGTAATAAAACTGCCCATAGTATTCAAATACAAAAAAACAAAGCACCAAGAAAACAAAAATCTGCAAATCACTTTCAGAAAGAAAGAAAGCTTGTGCTTCAAAATCCAAGATACATAGTGGTTACATTGAACAATTCTCATGACAAAGAACCAATGCTGCAAGTGGTCAAGACTATCAAATAAAAAGAAAAGGAAATTCAAGCACCAGAAAACTTGCACTCTCTAAAAAACTAAAAAAGATAAAAGACAATCACCAAGAGATTTTTAAAGTATAAGAGAAGATAAAGATGAAATCATGATTTAAAGAAATGGAAAAAGTGAAAGGAAAAGAGGTTGAACTGAAGCCCACAGGCTAAACTTAACCTCTCTGGGTGAATCAAGGTATTTTGTAGAACAAATCCTCAGTGACAGTGGAGATGAATGGGTAGAAAGGAGATGGAAGTTAGAGGGAAAATGGGTAATGTAGCCTTATGGAGCTCATTTATGAACAGAGAAGGGATGATGCCTCATTCGTATGGTCTCTTAGCAAGAAGAACAGCTGGGAGGGCACCAGAAGGTAGGGATTGAAAATGGGGAAATAAAGGGAGAGACAACCTATTAGTGGGGAAGGAATCTCAAAGAAGATCACTTCCATAGAGAAAAGGAGGTATACCTGTGATGGAAGATGGGGACCCTATGCTAGTTTTGATCTGGAAAGAGTTAGCACATTAAGAGACCACCTTTCCTGAGAGAGTTTTGTGTCTCCATGGATCACATCCTGCCTTAGGAAAAGAGAAATAAGTGCTGGGGACAAGCAGCAACCAGAAGGAAGGGAGGACATAGACTCAGAGATGAGATCTTACTGCCAATGAGAAAAAGAATGGTCATGGAGATGGCAGAGATAAAATTATAGTTACGACCTGGGACACTGGGAAATTTCTCCCATGGGGCACTGCTTCTATCCAAATAATTTCTCTCATAAATTGATACATGTAAAAGTGAGTCACAATAGATCAAAAAAAGAGGGGGCAATAGGTCCAGCTCTATAAAGGCAATGACAGAAATTTGTTAGAAGAGAGAACTCAAGCGTGCTACATCAGAAGCATTAATTACATGAAGAAAACAAAGAGATTAAAGAAGGAACTAATAAAGATATAGAAAATAAAATTTTAGAATAGAAGAAAGGGAAGAGAATTAATGAAAGTATAAAACAAATACATTTTTTTTCTCAGAAAAAGGCACAGGAAAAACATTACTATTAGAAGTGTTAGCTCTATTTTTGTTATTCTGGTTAGCAAAATCCAGGTCTTTTTCTAGGTTAGCTTTAAAAAGTTTGTAACATGGTCACTAGCCACTGATGAAAGCCAACATATGCATAAAATAACACTCTGCTGCTTTATCAAGCAGAAATGATCTAGAAAGTAATATATCTGAGATGCTAATATCTAATGCTGAAACTAACCAGGATCATGCAGTCCAACGGTGAGAAGCTGTCAGATGCTTACTGATTAGTATGCTTGCTGCTGGGGGGGGGGGTGATAGGAAGAGAAGAGAAGAGGCAGAAAATCTCTGTTACACATGGCTTTGGCAAGTCATGATATACAAGTACAAATGTAGAGGTGAATTTTTAGACATTTGAGCTATGGTAGTATGGAGAAGGGGGAGATCAGCTATAATACAGCAACACGTTGTATTTTAAAGAAGATGGCATTTGTCTTTGGAAACAAGACTAGATGTAGTGACAGAAGACTGGGGTTCAAGTACCTGTCCAACAATTACTATTTGCATGACCTTCCTGTGTAAATTACTCTTCTGAGTCTCATTTTCTTCATCTATAAAATGGAAGTAATAGCATTTCTGCCTCACAGAGTTGTTGTGAAGAAAGATCTTAGGTCATATAATGTTAAAGAAATATGATTAATAATGTGTTATGTCATACATGTATTATTTAGGCAACATGTGTTGCCTAAAAGTTTATTTTCTTACTTCATCTTTTTTTTTTTTACTTCATCATCTTTCTTACTTCATTGCTTTTAATCACCAACTGTTGCTGGAACAAAGAATGTCTTGCCACCCTAGAGAAACACTGTGCCAAAGAGTCAGTCTAATAAATGCTAATTTACTAATAAATGCTAGTTCACTGAGTGACTGACCAAAGAAATGGGTCATGGTGAAACTGGCAGAGGAAGACAGGAGAAAGGATGTTGGATTCGAATTATAGTACCTAGGTTCCAATGTGACCTTGACCAAGTCATTTGACTTATTTCATAAAATGAAATAGTTGGACTAAATGATGTGTAAAATTTCTTTTAGATATGATCTCTAATCCTATGAAAGAAAACCAGATAGAGACTCTGGACACTTGGGTTCTTGTCCTAACTAGCCGTGTGATCTTGAGTAAGTCACTTCTTAGGATCCCTTATGAAAATGGAGAAAATAATCCTTTACTTGAAAACTTCTCGAGGTTACTGTGTGGATCAAGAGAGATAATGTCTGTAGTGTATTTTATAAATATCTCAAAGCTCTTTATAAATGCTGGCTATTGTTAGTATGATTATGTTTATAGCACACAACTCAATATGAATAAACAGTCAAAAAATGGGGGAGGGAGGGAAGGAAGGGTTAAAGTGTTCTGTACTATACTGAGATAATACTATAACAAGGACAAGGAAGGTTCCAGTCCTCTTGTCTGTGTTCTGGTCAAACTGCATCCGGGTTGCTATGTCCGGCTCTGAATGCCACATGTGGAAAAAGACATGAGCCAAAACATGCCTCGAAGAAGGTGGTTAGGATAATGAAATCATTCAAAAATATTCCAAACACTAGGGACATTCAGCCCTGAAGAAGAGAGGACTGAGTTAGGATTGAGGAAGGAGAACATGACTGAATTCTTCAAATATCAGGAGGACTGTGAGATGGGAAGATGAATGATGGACAAGATTGATTCTGCTTGAGGAGGAACTAAGAAAAAAAAGGGAGAGAAAGCAGATGTCCAGTTCAATAGAAGACTTCCTAACAATCAGAGTGGGTTCATTCCCCACCCCCATCCCCACCAGAAGCTGTCAGAGGTGTGATCACTTGTTGGCAGTATGGTAGGGCAACTATTAGTCGGGTACAAATTAGAGTAGATTGCTTCTGGATGGATTTTCATCTTTGAGACTGTGAGTATTATATATACCAGGGAACCAAGGGTTAGCAACCTTTCAAAAGCCAGGTGTCAAGGTTGCAAACCCTGGCTCTCCAGTCTTGTAGGGAAAATGGTGTGGAAGGATCAGAGAGAGAGATGACATGGGGAAGGGTAGGTCAGGACTGGCCTGCATGCCATTACAAAGCAGCTAGTTCACCATCCTGGGCCCAAGCTGAGAAGGCTTGCCAACCAGTAATCTAAGCTCTGAATTGCAGAAGAACTCTGGATTTGGAGGCAGAAGAGCTGAGTTCAGCCTCTCCCTGGGACTATTTCCTTATTTGACAAATGGACATAATAACAACTCAGATTAACTCTGTAAATTTTACAAAGGGCCTTTGTTACTTAGTCATTATCAGGCCATTTGGCAGATGAGGAAACAGAGCCTCAGAGAGGTAGACCCCACATGTGGCCCAGTGCTTGGGAATTGCCTAAGACACAAAGAAGTTAGGAAACTTGTCCTAGTAGTAAGTATCAGAGTCAGCATTCAAACCCCAGTCTTCTATTCTACAATGAAAATTTCCATTACGTCCCACTCAGAGCTGTCATGAGTACCAGATCAAACAATGTAGGTAAACCACTTTGTAAAACATAAAGCAATGTATTCTAGTAACAGGAACATGTGGATAGAGCACAAATAGGGCTTGCATTCAGAAAGGTCTGAGTTCAAATCTGACCTCCTACACTTACTAGCTATATGACCCTGGGCAAGTCCCTTAACCCCTATTTGCCTCAATTCCTCATCTGTAAAATGGGGACGCACTGGAGAAGGAAATGGCCAAGCTCTCTGGTATCTTTGCCAAGAAAAATCCCATGGACAAAAGTCTATGGGGTCATGCAGAGTCAGATATGACTGAACAACAACAAATTCTATTACTGCATTGATATTATATCAATTTAATTATCTATTATTTTAATTGATTGTTGGGATGGTGATATTGATATATTAATTATAATAATATGACATATTAATTGATTGACATTTTGGTTGTATTAATATGATCTATTAATTTCTATGTCGTAGTAACTATATTAATATGATATATTGATTGGTATATTAATAATAACAAGGTGTAATGGTTAGAGTGGTAGGTGGGAAGCCTCAGGCTTTAATCCTCTGGCACTAGCTTCCTTAACTTCTATATGCCTAGGGCAAACCCCAAGGACTTCCCTACTATGGCTTAGACTGCTTTGGAAAATCTGATTTGTTGGAGCAAGTTAGTCCCTACTCTGCAGAAGTCTGTAGCATTTAATTGTCATACCCAGAATTAGGGGCAAGTTTCCTAAAGAAAGCAGTTCTGGTCAGATAAGCCAGAGTACAGAACAGAAAACGGTGTTAAGTCAATGACTCCTGTGCAATAAAGATAATGGGACGGACACAATTCTTTCAAAGCAATTCTTTGGAAAAGACCATTTTTCCTGAATGCCGAATCCTATTTTCCATTCATTGTGCTTAGGAATCCATGCTTAATATAAGAGGCACTCGCTAGGGACCAACACAGCTTCAGGAAATGCAGAATTATTTTTGACATGGGACTACAACGATAAGCTTTGTGGCTAAAGGGAACCTCAGAGATCATCTGGTCTCACCTCTTCATTTTACAGAAAGAGGAAATGAAACTCAAAGAAGGGAAGCCGTTTGGCCAAGCTAGGACCTAGTCAGCTCCTGGGATTCTACATTTCAGGGCGTTAGACATGGGAAGTGGCCGTGCAAAGAGGCATGTTTCCTGGACATAGAGAGCATTCTGGGGAGCATCATAGCTACCAACCAAAAGCAGGGGTCTGAAGGGGAAACAGGCCTACAGGCCTGTTTGACCCGGTTCCTGAAGACCCAGAGGTCTGCCAGCCCTTCACAGCCTCCCAATTCAATAAAACAGCCACACGTGTCATCTTGAACTTGACCATGAGTCAAAAAGAGGTCTCAATTTTTTTCCTCCTTCTTCTTTAAATCAATTTGGTTCCAACAGGTGTTCACCGTGTCTGAGGTCGCTCTGCTTACATAACCCTTCTTCCATTTGGAAGGATGAAAAATGTCACTCGGATTTATTGTAAACAGACTTAGGTTGTACTAAACAGTAAAACCAAAGGTCACCCGATTATTCATATGTTTCCCCCCTTTCCTCACTCTTCCCCAGACTTTAATGCATGCAAGAGCCAACAAAGAGACTTTCCTCCGTTGATGTCATCCCCCACTCCCACCCCCACCTGAGGAGCCTAACGAGGGTGGAAAATGTAAGTGGGAGGAGGGGGGAACCCACTTGGCTGCAGAAACCACAGCCAGCAGTCCGGGAGAGGGCCCAGCGCAGTGGGGGGTCTTGCGTGCTATGTGAACACAGGCCTATCTATCTATTTCCAAGCCTAAACTTGGAATGGTTCTTCAGGATTTTTGTCTACCCTCCCACTGTCAGGATTTTGAAAGAATGAGAGAGAAGAATGGTTGGGGTGGAAAAGGAAAGATAGGAAAAGGTGAGATGAGGGGCAAAAAAGAGGAAGGAAGGAAGGAAGGAAGGAAGGAAGGAAGGAAGGAAGGAAGGAAGGAAGGAAGGAAGGAAGGAAGGAAGGAAGGAAGGAAGGAAGGAAGGAAGGAAGGAAAAAGGAAGAAGGGGAAATGAAAGAAGGGAGGGAAGGAATAAAGAAAGGAGGGAAGGAAGGAAGGAAGAAATGAGAGAAGATGGGAAGGAAGGGAGGGAGGGAGAAAGGGAGGAAGGAAGGAAAGAAAGGGAGGAGGGAAGAAAGGAAGGAAGGAAGAAAAAAGGGAAGAAGGGGAAGGGAAAGAAGGGAGAGAAGGAGTAAAGAAAGGAGGGAAGGTGGGAAGGAAGGGAGGGAAAGAGGAAGGAAGGAAGGAAGGAAGGAAGGAAGGAAGGAAGGAAGGAAGGAAGGAAGGAAGGAAGGAAGGAAGGAAGGAAGGAAGGAAGGAAGGAAAGAGAGGGGAAGGATTTTACCAAGGGCTATGAGCAGAAGTTTGTTAGTGGAAAAATAAAGTTTTGTGAGGATAAATATAGGTCAAAAATTTTATGTCAAGGGGCCATTATGCTCACTGGGGAGGGAGAAGAGGGGTGCCAAAATCTCTTGCTCAAGTATGAGAGTTTGAGAACCAGAGGGATTTGAGAAGGATTGGATTGTGTTAGTGAGGACACAAGCCAGTCCAAGTTGGTGCATCCAGAAATAACTCAGGGAAAGATGGCCCAAGAATTCCCCCAACATCAGATTTGCCTTGTTTCCTTTTTGCCCTAATCACACCCTTACTCCCACCCCCTGGAGTTTAGGCTTTGCTACCTGGGCCTCCGATTCCACCTCAAAAATTGCCCAGATCAGGGTCAGCCATTTCAAGGCAATATTTTGTAAAGCCAATGAAGAGTCTAGAGTTCAGAGGTTCTTAACCTGGGGTCTGAGAACTTGATTTTTTTTTTTAAATTTTGATAACAACCTTTCATTATTTTATTTTATGCCTTTAAAAGCATTATTCCTTGAAGGGATTTCTGGGTTTTACCTGACCTCCCAAAGGATCCGTGACACAAAAAGGGTTAAGAATCTCTGGCCTAGATGGTTGGCCCTAGCTCAGGCACATAGTAAATCACCATCCAGCTAAAAGAATTCCATTTCTGAAGAATAAACTATATAAAAAGACCACTAATTTTACCACCAGGGAACCTGGGTTCAATCCCAACTCTTCTATTTGTCACCAATGGGACTTTGGGGAAATCACTCAACCTCGGGACCTCAGTTTCCTTTGGTAAAATGATGAAGCTAGACTGGATGATCTCTAAAGCCCTTTGCAACTCTAAGACAATGTATAAATTATTAGGTTGGTAAAAAAAAATGTTCTCCTAATACCTGGTCTGGCAGCAAGTGTTTGGTTTTTGTGTGTGTGTGTGTGTGTGTGTGTGTGTGTGTGTGTGTTTGTTTGTTCCCGAAACTGTCCTAAAATCAGATTGGATTGCATTAAGATGAACAGGAAAAGATATTGACTTTGTTTCTCCATTTGTCTGTGGTGTTGGGAAAGAGAAACTGAACTTAATGTACCCCTTCTACTTCACACTTGTCTCCAAACTTACCTCAACTTCCCTTTTCCTGATTTGTTTTTTATTGTCGTTGTTGTTGAAGCCTAGGAAGAGTGCAGCTCCTCTGTCCTCCACTTGCTGTAATCCCGGGATTTGGAGTCAGAGGGGTCTCCATTCCAATTCTCTTACTACATATGTGGCTTTGGGCAAGCTTCACTTTCCCTCCTTGAAACTCAGTTTCCACATCTGTAGGAAGAAGGGGTTGGACTAGTTAAGTGGGTAAAGGTCTGGACTCCATGTCAGTATGATCTGCATTCAAATCCTGCCTGTGACACTTACTAGGAGTGTGACCCTAGGCGAATCACTTATCCTCAATGAGCCTGTTTCTTCTTCTGTAAAATAAAAGGGCTGGGCTAAACATCCCAGAAGGTCCCTTTTAGCTGTAAATCTATGATTCTAGGACTAGATGCCTCCAAGGTCCCAGCCAACCCTAGAACTCTGATCTTGGTTATTAACATAGAATGCCCCCAGACCTCTGGACCCTGGCAGCTTCAACCAGCAACTGCCTGAAGATGCTTCTGTAGCCATGGCCAGGATGCATTTGGTTTGGGTTATTTTGTTGGACTCAGCCTCCTGTTTTCTTTCAGAGTCCAGGAATGTATGGGTACACGTGTGTGCATGTATGCATACATGTGTGCCTGAATAGATACATATATTTATGTATTTATACATGTATATTGATTGTGTGTTTACATGATACCTAGATACACATATTAAAAATGTATGTGTGCACATAGAAACACAAAGACATATACATACATGTGCATATATAACTTAGTACCACATATACACATGTAAACATATGCATATGTGTTTTGTAGGAATGTCTACATGCACATGTATGTTGTCTGTTATAATGTATTATATACACATACATGTGTAAATATATAAACACATATGTATGTATATAGGTGTGTTGCACAAACATGTACATATATCATGTGTGTGGGTGCATGTGTGCATACATATGCATGTACACGTGTGTATGTGTACTGTGAGTGTGTGCGTGCCTACATATGTACACACATGTATACATATACATGTACATGCCTACACAAATATATATAAACATCTTATATATGTATGCACATATATTTATATTATGTATAGAGGTATTGTATAAAGACACATTCATTTATACATACATATGCAAATATCTGCACATACATATATGCATATAACTATGTGTATTTACATATATAAATATTCATATATATATATATGCATCATGCCCACATTTATCTTGATTATCTTTTCTTTAAACATAAATATATCTGTCCCTAAATAAGACACTCCATCTCTAGGCCGGGGGATTTTCTCTGGCCCTGCACCACTACTGGAACGTTCTCCCTCCTTTCTCTAAATCCCAGCTAAAATCCCACCTTCTACAGGAAGCCTTCCTCATCCTCTAATCCAGGGCTTTCTCTCTTTTAATTATTTCCTAGTTATCCTGTAAATAGCTTGCTTTGTATGGATTTGTTCGCATGTTTTCTCCTCTATTAGGTCGTGAGCTCCTGGAGGGACACGACTCTCTTTTTGTGTCCCCAGAGTGTAGCACGGTGCCCAGCACGTAGTAGGCCCTTAATCAGTGTTTACCGTTGATTGATTGAAACAGCCCTTCCCCAGTGAGCCCAGGCACCGTCGCTGCTGGCGGCTCGCACATGCGCGCGCGCACATTCGGCCTCTGGCGTGGGCCCCCATTCCGTGCGGAGCATCCTTTCCCCTGCCTCGGCCGCCTTTCGTGTTTGCTCTTGTGTGAGCGTAGAAAGTGCAGAACCTAGTGGAACCGAACCAAAGCTAACTGAAAGTCATTAGATTTATAAGCGCATTCGGTATATTAGCTCTTTCATCCTCAAAACCTGAAAAGGGAAGCGTTATTGACCTGGGAACTGAATGCGTCCAGAGAGGGACAGTGAGTTGAGGTCGCAAGGCAAAGCTGGAATTCTGAGGCCGGAGCTGCTACGGGTTGCTTGTGTGATCTTGGGGGAAGTCACTTCTCTGGGCCTCAGTTTTTCCTCAGGTTGGACTCCATCAGGGTTCTTAATTTTATTTTTGAGGGGATCATGGATCCCTTTAGCAATCTAGTGAAAACCTTTCTCAGAAGATTTTTGATGTATAAAATAAAATGCATAGGATTACAAAAGAACCCAATTTTGTTTATTGTTTTAAATTTAGGAACCCCTGGTTTATGACCTTGACAGAAGGCTCTTTAGATCTGAAGTCCTGAGACGGCAAGTCAGGGAATCCTTTCCAGTACACCTTGAAAATCATAAGATCATAGATTTGAAGGTGGAAGGGACCGTAAAGGCCATCAGGTCCAGCACTGTCATTTTGCAGATAATGTACTGAAATCCAGACAAGGTCACACAGGTATTGAGCCCAGATTCCAAGTCCCCTGGTTCCAAATCCATCTTGCTTTCCATTGAAGCAGGCTGTCTCTAAGATTGGGGACTGGGCAGGGGGAGGGGAGGAGAGTGGCAGAGAGTCTAGAATTGTGGATTACAACATTAAATGTGTATTCTTTGGAGATTCAGAAAATCCTGCCCCTCCTCGAGAATCAGCTGAATCACTATGATGAATATGTATCCATTCATGTCTTCTCTAGGCAGCCCTTTGTGCTAGGTGTGGGAGGTGGAGGCAGGTAGGTAGTGGAGATGAAGTTTAGATGAATGCCACTGTCTCAGTATCTAGTAGCTGCCTCAGGCAAAGCTCTGGCCCAAAGAGTCACTGCAGCCGGCTCCAGAATGCACTTCCGGTCCAAGAAAATTAGTGCCTGGGTGCTTATAAGCCTGGAGAGTGTTAATATGGCCCTGAATTTTCTTCATAATCCCTGTCACTTTCACCACCCCTCCTTGCTGGAACCCTCCCTCCAAAAAAAAAAAAAAGGATGCATATGTGTGTATGTGTATGTGTATATGTATATGTATATGTGAATGTATGCATATATGTATGTGAATGTGTGTATATATACATATATAATTATATATTATCTTAGAACCACAAAGTGTAGAAAAGAATTTACATGATCTAACTGTATTTTACAATTGCAAGTTACTTGACAACCAAAAACTGTCTCCTTTACTTTATGGTTCCTTGATATTTGCTGAACTGAATGAGGTAATTGCCACTCAAAGAGATTGTGCCTTGACCAAGATGACAGCAAGTTAGTAGGATAGCCAGGCTTAGAGACCCCACCTCCAGACTCTTATGCTAGTGGGTGTCCAATGCACAGCTGACCTCTTTGACAAATTGCATCGGTCCATCACCCCACATTTTCCTTGCCCAGTGCAGAAGTGGACTTGTCATCGCAGAGAGCTGGGGAAACAGAGTAAGATTTTGGATTTACTGCCCCAGGCTCATACACAAGGCCAACACACACCTACAGGCCCGGTAGAGGGGCAGTGGTGCTCAGACCCAGGCACCCAGACAAAGCAGGCAGGACTTCCCACACCCTTATTTCCTTTTTTGTCTTCCACAGGAGCCCCAGCTAGCTACAAAGAACAAAATTCATGCATTGTGAGGTTGTGAGGAGAGAAACAGAGAAGGAAACAAAGACAGGGACACAGAGAGAGAAGGAGGGAGGGAGAGGGGAGAGACAGAGACAGAAAGGATGGAAGGAGAGAGACAGAAAGATAGGCAGAGACAGGAGGGAGGGAGGGAAACAGAGATAAAGAGATACAGAGAGAGAAAAGGAAGGCAGGAAAGAGTGGAGACAGAGACAGAGAAAGGGAAGAGAGAGAGAGACACAGAGACTAGGGATGGAGAGAGAAAGGAGAGGTGGAGGAAGGGAGAGGGAAAAGAAGAGAGGATGGGGAGACAAATGAAGAGGGAAAGGAATTTTTGTTCTAATTTCAGTTCTTAAAATGGGCCCATAATTATAGATAGATTTTGCAGGTCTGTAAATTTGGAGGGGAGAGGGGCAAATCACATTTTTATTTTCCTTTATAAGCCTACAGATTTTATTTTGTACATTTAAAAATATGGTTTTAAGAAGGTCTCCTTAACTAGGCTTTCCCAAACTTCTCAGGGTCCATGACACAAATTAGGTTAGGCCTAGATGACCTCTCACGTTTTGGTCAGCTCTAGATCTTCTAATCCTATGACCTAGCCCCCTCCCCCATTTTCCTCTTCCAGCTGCTTCCATTTCCAGGGAGTCCATTTCCAATGTGACTGGATATGGGAAGAAGGAGCCAGATCTAGTTTCAAACCTCTAACTCCCTCCTCTTGGAGAAGGGGCTCTTTCCTGGGCTCTCTGAGGTTGGTGAGGTGGGGAGCTAGTTTCCTCCTTGCTTACCTTCCCCACATACACACGTACACTTTCTCCAGGCAGAGTGAGCCAGGCCAGGAAAGAACAAGGGTCAGAGGCAGGTCATCGGGAAGGGAAGGAATCCAAACCACTCTGAAGCTGATGGAGTCTAGTGAGTGCACAGTCCTGAAAATAAGACCAAGTCTTATTTTTTTTTTTACCTCTGACCCCATCCTCCCCAGAGCCCAGGTCAATTATGAAAAGTAATCTCACAGCCTAGGAGCCTGGGGCCTGAAAGGGTTTTCATTGGTCTGAATTTGGGAGTTTTTCAATTTTGTTTTCATTCTACTTGATGCTTATACTCACATTTCTAACTTACTACTCACAAAATTGATTGATTTTTATGTTGCTTTAAGGCTAACAAAGAGTTTTATTCTGCACCATTTATCTAATGCTGCTTCTCCGCAGATAGTGCAAGTATTTTATACTTCTTTTACAAATAATGAAACTGAGGCTCACTGGGACCACAGGACTTCCCTCAGGGGTTTACACATGAATCGGAGCTGTAATTTGAACCCAAGCCTTTGGCCTTCAGCAGTCCTCTTCTTACTGTACAAACACAGGAAATGTGGCTTTCTTTCCAGAAATGAACATCCATCTATTTACAAGACGTTTTCTATCCAAGAAGAAAGGGCTAGAGGTTGAGAGGAAAAAGAAGTGAACGTTTTTCTCCCCCAGGCCAGGGCTCTGCCTTCAGCTGGCCTAGAACTACTTATAAATTCGGAAATGGAGACTTGGGTGTTCAAGTCACTTGCTCAAGGCCACACAGGTAGCTTGCACCCGAGCCAGGAATCTGACTCGGTCCCAAGGCTCCGCCTACCTCTTGGAGCTAGAAGGGTCCTTAGAAATCAACCAGCCCCTCCAGATTAGGAGAAAAGGTCAGAGAGGTGACATTAGACCGGGAAAGGCACTGAAATGTCTCTTAATTATTCACATCATTACCGTATTCTCATTATTGTTCATTACTGAAGATTAGACGTTTTAGTGAACACTGAGTGAATCTGTCGATGCAAAGAAGGCAGACCCAGACTCTTACAAAGACTCGTTAGAACTGAAACGGACCTTAGACAAGTATCCTTGTTTGACAGAGGGGAAAACTGAGGCCGGGGAGATTAAGCGACTTGTTGATTGTCACTATCCTAGAGAATGGTAGAGCCAGGATTTGGACTCAGAAGTTTTTGACTGCAAGATCAGAGCTCCTTCTGCAACTTCATTTCACCTCTGACTGCAGGCTTCCCCAGATCGTCTGCACTTGCTTTGCCCTAAGCCCTTTTCTCAGACCAAGGAGTCAAAACCAGATTGCTTGTATATAAAAGAGCAGACTGCGGGCATACTGTAGCCGCAGAATGGGCAGCCTCACGTGTGACTGAGTACCTTAAAATGTAAATGTCAAGAACAAAGGGAGACGTGGACTAGGGTCCCGAGAGCCCTACTAGAATAATGCCGCGGAGGAGGGACCATTACGGCTTTTAGCTAAGAGTTGCTGAATATCCCGGATGATAGCTAGGACGCGAAGGCAAGTTCTAGGGGGTTGGAGCTTTTGGGAGTAAGTTTTAGTTTCTCTCCCGTCCCCTCAGCCGGGCCATAATCCACCCTGGACTCTCCGATATGGTCAACGGCCCATTTCTTCATTCTCAAAGAACAGAATAAGGTCAGATCTCGATTCCCAGTGCGGCATCCAACGTGCGACCGACTGACTCCTGGCGCAATGGGCTCAAGGACCTGGCGCAGAGACTGAGCCGTCTGTTCAAAGACCAATCCTTAGACTGCGGCCACTTCTTAGCTGGGGCCCTGTGCTCCCCCCACCCCCAACCTTACAAGCAAGTTTCCAATCCCCGGATTGCTGATGGCGCCAGAATTCTGGACGTCCACCCAGGGCGGAAACAAAGAATCTTCCAAAGAAACTGTCCATGCCTGATTTCAGGGATGCGACGAATACATTGGGAAACCGGACGCGCTGAACAGAGACAGAAAAACTAGTACCATGGGTGGAATTTGCAGAGGGGTAGTCTCTATCGCGATATAAGGAAAAACTTCCTAACAATTAGAGCTCTCAAAAAATAAAATAAAATAAAATAAACCGGACTGTCTTGGGGGAAAGGGTTTCCCCAAAACTGGAGGTTGAATGACCATTTATGGGGTATATCCGACAGAGATTGGACTAGAAGGTCTTGTAAATTCCTTATGACTCTAGGATTCTGGGATTCTGTGTTGGAATTCTAGCAGGGGGAGGGAATTTCCAGTCACATCTAGTCTCCATAGACTAGCCAAATCTATGTTTTCTGTCTTAGAAGGATTTCCTCAATTAAATTCAACAAACACTTATGCAGCGTGAGAGATCCTAGGTTAGGTTCTGGGAACACAGAAGGGACCACCACCCAGCCTTTGTTCTTTAAATTCTAGGGAAGAAGTCTAGTCTATGTGCTATGGGGAAGTCTCGGGAAGGAGTAACCGCCTTCATTTGGGAGGGAGGGCTTAGGATTCCTAGAGAAACTGGACCTTCAAGACACAGATTTCAATAACTTCATATAGATAGGGGGAGGAAGGAGGGGTCTGAGGAATCCATTAAAGTTATCGGGGATCGTGAGAGAGGAAAGGTTTAGCAAGAGCTGATCTAGGCAGGAAATAAGGATCCTACATTCTGGCTGGGACAGGGATTTGGTGAAGTAAAGCAAAAGAGCCCTCATGTAAGAGAAGCAGATTCGAAACCCAGTTCGGCCACCCCCCGACGTGATCTTGTCTGGCAATTGGGGTTAAGTGACTTGCCCAGGGTCACACAGCTAGCGTCAAATGTTTGGTCTGAGGCTGGATTTGAACTCAGGTCCTCCTGACTTCAGGGCCAGTGCTTTATCCACTGCGCCACCTAGCTGCTCCCCAAGTCCCACATTCTTAAGTGATGGGGAGTAGCATGAGATAGGAATGGACAGATAGTTTGGAAGGAGGGTTGTGTAAGGCACTGAATGCCAGGAGCTAGTGAATCCATAAAGCATTGATTAATAGAGGTGCTAGGTCTAAAAAAGGTGAAATCAACAAGCATTTATTAAGCACCTACTATTTACCAGGCACTGTCTCAGTACTGGAGGTTCAAAAAAAAAGGCAGAAAACAGTCCCTGCTCTCAAAGAGCTCACAGATAAAACCACATACAAACAGCTATGTACAAATGAAATAGATACAGGATAAATTGGAGATAATCAGTAGAGGGGAAGCGCTAGCCTTAAGGGGAATCATGAAAGGTTTCTTGCAGAGGATGGGGTGTTATCTGGGACTTGAAGAAGCCAGGGGGCAGAAATGAGGAAGGAGGGAATTTCAAGAGTGGGGGACAACCTGTGAAGATGCACAGAGATGGAATGAAAAAAGATAGTCTACTGGGACTGTGCTTTTCATCCTTTATCCAGTAGTCAATGAGAAGCCACCGAAAATTTTGTATTTTCCTCTCAATCTAGTATAATAAGAGTCACTCCTGTGAGTTAATATCTTCCTGAAATTGCCTCTGGCCTTCTAGCTAACTGGGCTATCATTGCCATCTTGGAAAGGAGTAATAATATTTACATAGCACTTACAAGGCTTCCACATGCATTTATCCCCTTTAATCCTCAAGACAACGAAATCGAGTTGGGAGTGTATTATTCTCCCCATTTTGTATACTAGGAAATTGACTGAACAGACAATTACAGAGATGAAGTGACAAGTCCAGAAACACAGGGCTATTAAGTGGTGGAGGCCAGGCTGGAAATCTGCTCTTTCTAATGACACCAATTATTTATTGCACTGGAAAGCCCTGAGTTCAAGAGCAGAGATTTTCACCAAAAAATAACATATTCTTGGGAAAGGGCCAGACCTATAGCTCTGGGTCCAAGACTTAAGCCACTGTCTTTGAACCACAGGGTCTTCATTTTCTAAAATTAAGCCTCAGAAATGGGTGGGTGATGTGGGTCTCGGGCTGGATTCGGTGAGTTTCCTGTACCTGAAGAGCTCTGATTAATCACTTAGCCCAAGAACATTTGACTACTTTCTTTAGAAGTGCTTATCCTGTTGTGGATTCTTCTGCATCTAGTCCCTCCTCGAAAGGAAGAAGATGGGATGGGAGTGAGGACAGACAGAAAGAGGCAGAGAGACAAAGACAGAGAAAGAGAAACCGAGACACACAGAGAGACAGACACAGATACAGACAGAGACATAAAGACAAAGGCAGAGAAAGAGAAACCAAGACACAGGCAGAAAGATATAGACAGAGGGACACAAAGGGAGACTAGGAGCTGCCTTGGCCCCTCCAGCCTTGTCTTTAGTGGCAATTTCCACCAACTCCCATTGCACTCCCCTCCCTCCATCCCACCTCCTTCTACACCCCAGTGTGAATTTGAAGGGATATGTCATTATTTTAAAAGGCTTATTCTACGTTTGTTCTGTTACCAACAGGGTCATAATGAATAGAGTGTTAAGGTTCGAGCAGAAAAGATGTGAATTCAAATCCAGCCTCTGACAGGGACTAGTTATGTAACTCTGGGAATGTCACAACCTCTCTGTGCCTCCAGCAATTACCCAGTATTTAGGTACTAAACCACAGAAGAGTCGCCATCTAAGTTCACAGTTTCTCGAACTCTGATAAAAATCTTAGATCCTTAGTGTATTCACATATAATGATAACAACATTTATAAAGTGCTTTAAGGTTTTCATTTGATCCTTACAACAATTTTGTGAGAGAGGTGTTACTATTATCCCCATTTTATAGATGAGGAAATCAAGGCTGAGAGAGGTTAAAATGACTTGCCTAGGGCTGCACAACCAGAATGTGGCTGAGGACTTCCTGACTCCCAAGTCCAGTGCTCTACTTGGCTACCTGATGCCTTATTGCTTCTGTTCACACCTTTCACTTCAGTAGAATGTTAATTGCTATGTTTGCCTTCGATCTTAAATGCCTCTAAATTCCCTATTCTCCTTTAATTGGACTTGAGGAATCATAGGAAGAGCTAGAAAGGCTCTAGAATACAATGCCAGAGCTGGAAGGAACCCTAAAGGTCACCTAGTCTAACTTCCTCATTTCACACCTAATGAAAAGTAATCCAGGGTAATACCTGGAGTGACCAGTGCTGGGCCCTCCTATTCAGCTCTTCTAACTCAGTCCAC